TGAAGGATGGGTGCAGAAGGGAGCTTGGGATAAGGGATTGGAGTGCAGGTGGGGGTGTGGGAACTGGGAGAGAGTTTGGGTGAAGGAGGCAGTTGTGACCTGGAGCAGGAGACTGGGGTGCAGGGCTTGGGAGGGCTATGGGTGCAGGAGAAGATTCTGACCGGAAGGAGGGGTGCAGGAGGGAGTGCAGAGTCTGGGAGGGGGTTGTGACCTGGGGCAGGGGTGCAGGGGATTGGGTTGCAGGGTCTGGGGGAGGGTTTAGGGGGCAGAGAGTTATGGGGGAGAGAGGCTAGGTTCCCAAAGTAAGGCTCTGGCTGGGATGCACTTATCTGGGTCACTCCTGGCCAACAGCCCAGCAGGTTCCTCAGCCAGGGTCCCTGCCTTCTGTGCCCTTGCAGACTGTGGGGGGGCCGTGTGCGGCTCTGAATGCTGCAAGCCCGGAGGGGGAGGAGTACTTCACGCACTGCCTGTCCTGCTAACAGGCAGTTCCCACTGGCAGGAAACTGGTCAATGGAAGCTGTGGGATTGTGCTGTGGGCAGTGCATGAAGCCTCTTTCCTGCGCCAGTGTCCGGGCTTGCAGCGTTCAAAGCCCTGCTCTGAACAGTGGGCAAGGCAGGCAGGGAGCCTGGGTGAGGCTCTCATGGATCAGATCCTGTGGCTTAGCAGGTTGGATGTGGCCCACGAGCCATATTCTGCCGATCCGTGGCTTAAGTAGTACCTTACTCTTTGATTATGCTCACTGAAATGAATGTTAGAGCAAACTTCAGAGCAAACTCCCTAACAATACATCTTCCTCTTTTGGTGGAAGAGGAAGTCTCTATGCCTAATCAGGCTTGGCCTCTTTGCCAAGCCTGCCAATTTTAGTGGTGCTTTTTTGTTGTGGGCTCCAAGTCACTAGGAACTGAACTCACAGTAGAATGGTGTCTAGTGATAGATCATAGGATTAGCAGAACTAGGTTCCATTTCCAGCACTATCAGTGATTTGCTCATTGACCTTGGGCAAGTCACTTAACTAATCTGTGCCTCGGTTTCCCCCGATGTTAAAATAGGGATACTGTTTATCACAGTGCCATGAGACTTAATGTTTGTAAAGCTCTTGGAGTTCTCTCTCCAAAAGGAAGAATGAGTGCACAATAATTTTACATACACCCGTATTATTTTTTTACAATGGCCTTTGCGACTAACCCTGTCTCCTGGTATAACAAGTTCAAGTCATTAACAGCCTCAGTTGTATCAAAATTGATGATGCCTTTAATGTCTTCCGCAGCATTACAACTTGATGCAAAACTGTCTCTGTGAATTTTCTCAAGGTCTCTTGTAACAATAAAAATATCAGACTTAATATATTATTTCAGAGTTACCTTCAAACCTGACAGATACTTGGATGGTGATTTTTTTTTTTTTTTTTTTTTAGAAAAGATTCCAAAAATCCTCCTTTCCTACCTCACATACTTTGGCAATCTTGCCTAAATGTCTGCATTTCCCTGGTAACTTGTTTATGCAGCTTTTTACTCATATCTTCCATGTAGCAGCAGTCCTGTATTTGAATCCAACATTGTAAATGACTTCACCTAAGAGTGCAATCAAGGGGTTAACTTACATTTCTGATACATTTTGTTAAAGAAATAGATTTATTCTCTCCAAATTCAATTGAGAATAGTCTATTCAGTTTTTATCTCAATATTATTTTTTTATCTCAAATATTTTCTATGTCTGTTTTGAAACTGCTTATCACCTCTAGGATGGAATAACGCTCATCCTTAACAATTTGTTCTTTTCAAACTTAGGTCAAAGAAACCCAGGCTCCATTTCTAAAATATGTCCAAACAATCCAAGTTAATATTTGAAAGATAACTGCTGATTAAGACTACCAGAGCATTCCCTGCACTCTTCAGTATGCTAGATTACACTGCTTTGAATTTGTAACAACAACAAAAAATTTAATCAAGAAATTCAAGTTAAAACAAGATTAGACACATACTCCCCACAAACACAATTTCTAAAAGAATGAAAAATTAACACATTTCACATAGGAAACGTATAACTACATTTTTATATTTTGAGGCCTGATTTATTTTCCCAAGTGTTTGATTCTGGGTTTTTCATCTTTGGAGTGCCTGATATGAGAAACCTTAAAGGACTGATCTGAGTACCCTCCTCTGAAATTGGGCCTCAGTCACCTGTGAGCATTTAGATCCTGATTCCTACCTTTTATGCACTTTATCCATATTTCAGCACCTAAGTGAGTGACCTGATTTTTTTTAAGAGTTTGCACACCCACAATTTTGAAATCTGGCCTGTATTGTTAATTGTGTTATTTAGGAAAAGAGACTAATGAGCTTTCTTATGGAGTTTAATTTTTAATGAACCACACTAATACTATCTCCATCTCTGGGGTAACTATGACTTCTGGGAAGTTACACCAAGAATGATTTGTCCATTTTCTACATTTAATAATTATTTTCTGATTATGTGGCTAACAGCTATTTTACATGTCTTATTTTTACTTGTTTTCGCCTAGACACCCTTTATAATTGATTTATTCTTATTACTTTGCTTAATATTCTTTGTTAACTAAGGAGGAAGTATTGTCTGGTGGCAAAGGCACTGAATTACAACTTGCATTAACTGGTTCAATTCTTGGCTCTGCTACTGTTTACCTGTGTGATCTTGAGTAACTTACTTCATCTGTGCTGTGCCTCAGTTCCAAATCGGTAAAATGGGGGTAATATCTTACAAAGATGGTGTGAGAATCAAATCCATCAGTGATTGGAAGTTTCTAAATTACTACCTTAATGAAGGCTAGTTAACACTGTTAAGTTCATTAAGGCTAATTAACATTAAGAGATTTTTCCAAAGAAAGAATTTGTGAAAATATTAGTATAGAGTTTTAAATAAATTCTCATGTGCTTGTTCTCAGTTGCAGGAATGGCCATGGTATTAAATTGTGAGCTGAACAATGTGAATCCCTTTCCTGTCCTAACCAAGAACATCATTGGTACAGAGCTGAACAAGTGGAACCTCATTGTTTTGGGGGATATGTTTTATGATGAACAACTTTCAAACAGTCTTCATCACTGGCTGAGGAAATGCATCAGGACTCATGGAACTAAAGTGCTAATTGGTGACCCTGGAAGGTCTCAGTTCATAGCCCACCCCATGCATAGTCAATTGCACAAAGTGGCAGAATATTCACTTCCGGAATCCACTAGGCAAGAAAACAATGGATTAACCTCAAGCACCGTCTGGAGTTACCAGCCCTGATCTGTTTCCCCAAAAACTGCTAAAACTGAAACTGAAAAAAGGAAGGCATTTAAAAAATAAATATTTCCTATTTTTATAAAGTATGAAAAGGGAACATTGGAAAATGGAGCAGATCCTCAACTGGCCCAACTGCTGCAATGCCACTGAAATCCATATAATTACATCCCTTCACTCCAGGTGAGGATCTGGCCCAGAGTTTGAGAGAAGCCTTACAGGCAAATTCCTCCCTCAGATGTGCAGGTTGTCTTCCCCCCCGCCCTGTGGAAGCCAATGTAAGTTAAGGGTATGTCTTCAAAGGCTGAACAGGATATCACTATATTCAATATCAAGATAAACAGGGAGAAGAGAAATTCAGTATCAGTGGGTCTCTGCTGACTGCTGCAGTTGATAAAAATCTAGTTTTCAGTGTCTAGTGAAAATAAGAGTGTTCAACTCTCTGGCTGCTTCACAAATTTACTTGGCCAAATTATGAGGCTGTTTTGTCCCAGGAAGTAAGTTTTATCCCCAGCAGCATGTGCCTGCAGCTCCTCTCAGAGATTTAAATCTCCTTCCTGTGTGTAATGCAGTTATACAATTTCATACCCAGGTGAATATAGCATTATTGCGAGCTTTCTGTCCCATGCAACTAGCATGTATTCATGAGAATAAGAATAGCTTAGTCCTGCTGATGTACATATTAATATGATCTCTACAGATTTTCAAACCCCTTTAACACAAGGGCTGTGTGCTTCATCAGCTGGCCCATATTAATTTTTTAAAAGAAGATGCTTGGGCCTGAGAGATACCAACTGAGTCAGAGTTAAAAGCTTTAGGAAACAGCAAGACACAGTTGCCTGGCTGGAGCCTGAGTAGTAAGAGGCTAAAGTCCCCTGGGGATTGTAGCCTAAGGTGAACTGAGGAAATAGGGCTTGTTGGAGGGTTGTTTAAGCTTGGTCAGTACGACTGCCTTGAAGGAGACTGTGGCCAGGGCAGTGAATCTCAAACAAATCAGGAGAAGACAGGCCTTGTTACACAGTGACACCTCTCTTTTGGATTGTGCTTAGGGTGAAAGTAGAAAAATGGGAGCACAATGACTTGGAAATGTTGGTAAATTGTGTTAACCATTTACATCTTTTAAAAGAGGAAGTGGCTTTAGACATGACATCACTACTACTTCTTCCTTGCATTAATCCCATTCCATGGAGTTTGGTTTGAGTCCTCTCCCTCTGCAATGCTCTGTTCAGTGCCATATCCAGTATCATACCACATGCTATCAAGTTTTCCTTTATGACAGTCCCCACTACTTCTTGACTCAGCCTCTGTCTTTTTCCTTCAGTCTTGATCAGTTGGACTCTCTCACCCGTGTAGTTGTCACGACTGCACGCTGTGTGGCCAAACCTATTGAGCCTGAAACCCCCTTATTTTTTTTCATTCATGGTTATTACTTTGAGCATGTTTCTAACATGGTTGTTCTTGCTTCCTTCACTCATCCATCTCACAATCCTGTTTTTTCTTAGTTGCCCAACACTCATTGCCAGGACAAGCCACTGTATTATAGATGTGCCTTTTAATTTTCCTGTATCTTGGCATGTTTTTGAGGAATTTTTTCCCAGCCTACTTTTCTAGATCAGGAAAAACTTAAAAAACAATCAGTCTAGCAGGACTCTAAGGACCAACAAAACATGTAGATCAGTGGTCACCAACCAATAGATTGGGATCTACTGGTAGCTCTTGGTGCCTCTGACAGATGATCCTGTCTGGTTTGGCCAGGAAGCTATCAAGCGCTAGCATTTCTGTTGCCCCTCTACCCACTGTCATGCTGCTCCTACCCTCTGCCCTGGGGCTGCTCCCTGGGGAACCTATGGTGCCTGATTTTTAAAGTTTAAAATAATGTTATAGTTAGCCAGTTGATCTGACCAGAAAATAAGTAAGCTTCCTTGGTTCAGAATCAGGCTATGTGACATTAGAAAAGGATAGATAAGAAGACAGAAAATATCATTTTGCTTCTGTATAAATCCATGTTATGCCTACATCTTGAATACTGCATGCAGATACAGTTGCCCCATCACAAGATATACCGGAATTGGAAAAAGCTCAGAAAAAGGCAACAAATTATTACAATTGATGCCTATAAAATCACGAGTTGTGTGGTGAAAATACACAAAGTGCTATTTATTCCTTCTTATAGCACAGGAACTAAGGATCACCAAATGAAATGACTGACCAAGTTTAAAGCAAACAAAAGGAAGTATTTCCTCAAACAATGACAGCCTGTAGAACTCTTTGGCAGAGGATCCTGTGAAGGCCAGACTATAACATGGTTCAAAAAAGAGTTAGATAAATTCATGGAGGGATAGGTCTATCAATGGCTTAGCCAGAACAGGCAGGGATGGTGTCCCTAGCATCTGTTTGCCAGAAGCAGGGAATAAGCAACAGAAATTGGATCACTTGATGATTTCCACTTTTGTTCATTCCCTCTGGGGCACCTAGACAAGAAGACAAGATACTGGCCTAGATGGCCCTTTGGTCTGACCCAGCATGGCCATTCTTGTGTTCTTAAATGAACTGGGTTATAGCTCTTGTAAGGACCCATGGGGTTTAAGGCAAGAACCCTCATGCTGAGGGCAAAACACAGACTCAGCAACTTTTACTAAAAATAAGTGAAAGGGGTTATCAACATTCCAAACCACAGAACCAAAAGGGAATAGTACAGCTCTGTGAGTGACTCTAGTACCCTCCCTTACAGAAACTACTTGATTAACCAATTTACACCCTTCCTTGGGGACTTGATGTTAAAGACAAAGGACTAGTCTCATTCATAACATGCCAACTGAATGCTGATCCTAGTTCCTCATTGTTCAAGCCCAATGGCAAACAATAGAGGGAAAGGGCCCAAATTAGCTCATTCTCAAAACCTGTGTTATGTTGCCTGACCTGGTTTGTTGCTTACTTCCACATTGCTGTGGAGGGACAGAGAGGTCACTGAGTCGCTGCTTTTTTAGTAAGAATTTCTAGTTCCCCAACATTGAAAAGGGTGGCTGTTAGGCCAAAGGTCACATGCCTACTTAATCATTATGTTAACTTCCCTCAGCTAACCATATGTATGGGATATGGGCCTGTAAGTTCCTTGCGGTACAGACAAATAGAATAATTCAATAAGAAATACTAGGGTAAGTTTGTAGGGTTATGCATTTCAGAGATGACTGCTGGGAAAAAAAACCCGATTGCATTGAAAACTAAATCCTTTAAAATAGAGGGGCAGGATAAATAATTTTTTGAAAATTTGCTTAAATGTTTTAACATCTTTGTACACTTCCTAGCTGTTGAAAGCAATTCAGAATCATAGAAATATAGGGCTGGAAGGGAGGGACCTTGAGCGTTCATCAAGTCCAGCCCCTTAACCTGTGGCAGGACCAAATAAACCTACACCATCCCTGCTAGCATCTCTCCAATTTGTTTGTAAAAGCCTTCAATGATGGGGATCACACAACTTCTCTTGGAAGCTTTTCCAGAGATTAACTACCCTTATAGTTGGAAAAGTTGTGGTTTTCTTTCTAATATCTAACCTAAATTTGCCTTTCTGCAGATTAAGCCCAGTATATCTTGTCCTGCCTTCAGTGGATATGGAGAACAACTGATGGTCCTCTTTATAAAAGCCCTTATCCTATTTGAAGAATGTTAACAGGTCACCCCTCAGTCTTCTTTTGTCCTACATTTTTTAATAAAGCTTAAAAATTAACTGTTATTGTGACAAACTGGTGGCTAAGCCAGAGCTCTGCCACTGTAGCCTGGCTAAAGAGGCTGAGGGGAAACAGCTGAGCAAGCCCAGGCCTGAAGGGCTATTAGAAGCAGCTGTGGGCCTCGCTGGGCGAGGGCTATATAAGGCAGAGGAGGGACACCAGGAGAAGGCAAAGAGCCAGGATGTGGCTGAGTGTGTGCCCAGGCAGATGGAGGAGCTGGCTGAATGGATTGTAAGCTTTGTACATAGAAGGTGGTGGGCACTGACAATAAAACCCCGGGGGACTGCACCACAAGCATCTCTGGCTGATTTGTGGACCAAAAGGTGTCCCAGACCCAGGGGCCTGAGTGAGGACTCTGCCACAGTTATGTTAGCAGGAGCTATGTTTTTCACCCAAAAAGATAATCAGACTTGTGATGTAAAGAAAGGCATTGCTTTAATTACAGGAAATATTAATTAACATGGCATGGACAGGCACACCTATGACACGAAAGGACTTGGATATTCACAAACCGCGCTTTTAGAAACAAAGAATGAAGGAATCTGGTATTACATACGACAGTGGTTACCAGAGAGAAGACTGTTGCCCAGAGATGGTTGATTTCTGAAAAACCTGTACCATCTGGGAGCTTTTATATAAAAATCAATAAACAGTCCATGTCACTTGTTTAATTTTGTTTGGTCCAACTAATTGCTCCAAGGCTTCTCGGGAACGATCTGCAACAAAGCACAAGAAAAACAAACATTATTAGTTGTTTATAATGTATACAGCTACTGGGCAAACAAATTATTTTTGTTATACAAGATACAAGGATAAATGATTTATTTATTTGTTTCATTTGTCATTAGTGCAAAATATCAATTTTTCTTTGCTCCATATTCTGGAAATGGACATATGGAAAAAAAATCATTTCAGATACTTTTATACCTGTAATAGTTTAAAATTGTGCTGTTTCTTTTTTTAAACCTGTAAATATTAAAGCACCATTAAGAAACCAGACACTAGATTACAAAGTACTTACGTTGACAAGGTAGGATTTTTGTTTCCTTTTATTATTTAATAAATACACTCAACTACCCCTCAACCTGTTGAGTATCAGTTGGCGTTCTGGGGGTGGGAGGAAGGGGGAATAAGCATCTGAGAAGCTATGAGTCTTGAGGTAGTTCGGAAGCGAAGAGGGTAGTTGCCTGCAGATCAAATCAAGAATAGCATTACATATGCACGGGGTGGCAAGGAAGAAGGTGTTATGGGAAGAATGAACCAAGGGACAGAACAGGTTAGCAGCTGTGGTGGGGCGAGGAAGGGGCAGAGTGATAGAAGAAAATTCTGGGTATGTAGTGAGGAGCAGAATTGGGAAGAGCTTTGAAAATGAAGACAAGAAGGTTTAAGCTTGATGCAGGGGGGGAAAAGGAACCACTGGAAGATTTCAGAAGGTGAAGGTGGCCATGTTGCAGTCAGAATGATGGGCAAAGATGATGATCTTAGCACCTTCTTAAGAAGCTTCTCTGGAGCACTAATAAAAAATAAGATTTTTTGCAGGCAATCTGCTTTTTTCTAAGTTTAAGTCATTCTAGGGCCAAGGCCAACATTGTGTCACTATTTAACAATTATATGGTGCTACCATGTTAGGGCTTCATTGTTCCAGGCACTGTACAATAGAGAAATGACCATCCCATGATAACCACCAGAGAGCCACATAACACTAAGAACAGAGCATCACATTCCAGTTTTTAAGTTACAAACTTGAAAAGAAAATGAAAGGCGCAACAAAACAATTGCAAATTGAATCCAACTGAACCACCTCAAGGGTAAATCCTCATTAAGGCCTGGATGAAAGAGAACACTTAAGCCAGTGTTTAACTGTAAAACACTTATTTAAGTTCTTTCCTGAATGAGGAGCTAAGAGACTTTTCATTGGATTCTCACGGAAAACTGCTTGGTCTATTTTTAGATAGACTCAGTTCACTTCAGCTGTGTCTACATTGGCACCCCTTTCTGGAAAAGGGATGCTAATGAGACACTTCGGAATTGCAAATTCCACGGGAGATTTAAATATCCCCCGTAGCATTCGCATGAACATGGCTGCCGCTTTTTTCCGGCTCGGGGTTTTGCCGGAGAAAAGCACCAGTGTAGACGGGATCTTGCGGAAAATAAGCCCTTTTCCGGAAGATCCCTTATTCCTACTTTCAAAGGCTTATTTTCCGCAAGATCCCGTCTAGACTGGCGCTTTTCTCTAGCAAAACCTTGAGCCGGGAAAAAGCGGCAGGCATGTTCATGCAAATGCCACGGGATATTTAAATCCCCCATGGAATTTGCAATTCCAAAGTGTCTCATTAGCATCCCTTTTCCGGAAAGAGGTGCCAATGTAGACACAGCCTTCCTGTTGCTGGAAAGACCAAATCCTCTTGCATCCAGCAGCATAGCCTCCCTGCGCCCAGCTGCTTACCTTACCCTCCTGCTGCTCCCATTTCAGCCTGAGCTCTTCCTACCCCTCAGCCAACACTGAGCTCTTGCCCAGAATGGGGGTCAAGCTGAAGAGCCTCATTTCCAGGGGCCAGACACCTGGGAGCCCCAGATCCCTTTCTCCTACGTCTCCATTTCCCCTAGTGCCAAAAGTCCAGATCCAACCCACCTACTCTTCTGGAGATTGTGGGTTCCTGGTGCTGTAGGGACAACAAAAGTGGTGGGGGCAGAATATAGGGAATGGAAAGCAGGAGAATGGGTCCACAGTGATACTCAGATTTGGTCTGGCCACCCATTCTCAGACATGACAGAAGTGTGGCTGGGCCAAATTTCCAACTCCAGCCAGGGAACAAGGGGAGGGACTGCCTGCCATGCAAATGCACCCCTGCTTCCACATGAGTTCTGAGTGAGTTTATAGCTTGCTAAGTAGTTACTTTTTTATTACTTTTACCAAATGCCAAGCCACCCTATTAATGCATAGTTAAAAACTGGCATTTTAATAGTCACAAAAAACGCTGGAAAGACAAAGTTATGGTTACCAAAGCAGCTGTAACTCGGTCTTCTTGAGCATACGCAGTATTTTATATTATAATACTAACAGCCCGAATTGCCTCTCACGCTAGCATAAATCCACTGCCTTCAGTTCCTTCAGGTGCAGCTGTGTGAAATTAGAATCCGGTTCTGTGCAATGTATTTATTTACCAGCTTCTACAGAGCCAACCATTGTGCATGGTGGGCAGTATAGAAACAGACAGATCACACATGAAAACTAAGAAGAAATGGGAGGTGGCATAGTCAGCTGGCTAGCAGACTTCATTGGAGAATCAGAAAACCTGTGGTCCTATTCCTTGACCTGCTTGGGGATCTAAGTCACTAGAAGGATATCAACTGCTATTGACACCAATATAGGCTCGATTCCATACAAGGACTAGAAACAGGGCAAAGACAATTCAAAGAGAAACCTATAAAACTTGAAAGTTGTGACCTTGTATTCCATATTCTGTATGAAAATATGCTTATGATATAGGTATGATATAACCGATACACTTTATGCAAAATGATTTATGCAAGATATAATTTACTGAATGTAATTATCCAATTTGTATATCATTTTTGTACCTGAAGTTAGGAATATTGACTTGTGTATTTGTATTTCATATACGCTGCTTTGGGTGATGTCCACTGCTAACAATTCGGGTACAGCAACAGAAAAGCCAGACAGGGCTGATGGCCTATCAGCAATGACAATGGACTGTGAAAAGACTTGGCCTTGTGGGAGCTCCATTCTATCACTGACTCATGGACACTATGCTACTACAGTCAGGTGACCCAGCACCTTGAAACTAACCTGATACTTACCTGTACCTTGAAATGCTGACCTGTACAACTGGGAGGTTGGAGAATCAAATAGAGGATTCCCGCCTTATGGGCATTCTATAAAAGGGAGGGAGAGGAAAATAACTGGGCCTTCAGTTTGCTTCTCCTCTGCCTCCGCACCCAAAATAAACTTTTAGGCTGACTGTCGGCTTGATTTGACTAACCTGTTATCAGTGGACATCCATGAAACAGCAGAATATATATCTCCGGACAGCAGGTAAGGACAGCTTCCACAGCTACATCTGTCAGAGTCACACAACGTTCCATGTGGATCTCCTGTTACGAGAACAAAAACCTGGTAACCACTTCCATAACTTTTAAAGCACAACTTTTATGTTGTCCATTTAATTTCACAGATCCACAGCGATGGTGATTATTATGTAAAACACACAACTCTGAAAAAGAAGTCCTTCTCTATGCACAAAGATTTTTTTCCCCTATTATATAAGTTCTTGGTACTTAGGTTTTCTTGGTACTTAAGTTAATACTTTGTAGGTAACTGTGACCTGACTGGATACTATGCTAAGGTTCTGTAGAAGTATATTGAGCAAGATTTTTTTATGAAAGCTTATACTGTTCTGAACGTGGTATTCATTATGAGATATGTACACAGACGGTGGGTATGTAGTTGTGCATATGTAAAACTGAGCTCATGATTTGTGCTGTAACATTGTGCTCCACTTCATAGTGAGGCAGTCAAGCAGGGTGGTGCTGCTTCCACAGCTACATGAGACTAGCTCGAAGCACCAGACATTGTACAACCAAGGAAAAGACAAGTGACAGGTTATTCAATGAAACCATTGAAAGAACTTGAAACTTACACTTAAAACATGATAGCCCAGCACTCCAATGTAGATACTACCTTACACAGATAGGACGGCTTCTCTCATCGGAACTGGTAATCCACCTCCCCAAGAGGTAGGAGCCAGGTCAATGGAAGAATTCTTCCACTGCTCTACCGCTGTCTAGGTAGGATAGGTCAATCTCAGGGTATGGATTTTTCACTATACCATATATAAATTCCTATGGTAGGCCAGGCCTTAAGGAGGACAGAGTTTTCCCCACTTTGAATATTTACAATCGTGGAAGGAAAACAAACTAACAACCAACCAAACATGCAAACCATTAAAAAGGGGAGGAATCTGAACAGAAGAATAACCAGAAATGGGAGGACAGCACATAGGCTGAAAGATGTCTGTGAAACACTGGAGCCCTTCCTACAAGTAGGAGGTAAACAGAAAACTGTTCAAAGGCAATAGGTGACTTGTACTAGGAAAGGGATTATTATCTAATTTAAAAGTGTAAAGCCCAAAGTTGCATGTTTATGTTTATTTTCTGCTATTTGATGTGTGCTTCCCTTGCTATTTCACTTTTTAATCTATGATTTTTCTCTTAAAATACACTGTCTATTTTTATCTCAAAAGGTCTCTAGTGTGCCAATGGTAAGAAAAGACTGTGCCAAAGCAAGCTAGTGTCTGCAGGGCTGATTGCACACCTTTGCGGGTGACTAACAAGAGGAGAAAAAATCTGAGCATCTGATAGCGAAGAGCATGGGGTGGATGGAAGTCAGGAGGCTTGGGACTGACTATTTGGCTATTTGGATCCTCCTACAAGGGTTAAGGAGGCAAGTGAAAGGCAGTGTGAAACCTTTGTTTGTGGGCTGGCTTGTGGGGTTAGGGATCTGAGATATAGCAGCTCAGTATTAAGGCACCCCTGACCCAAGGTTACAGAGCAGGCTGCAATACAACCTCTTACTGGTCTGGGTGACCCCCCTGAAATGTCACAGTAATTAAATGAGGACACGTACAATTAGTATAAATTTATTCTCTGAATCCACTGATCAGTGAAGAACTGTGTCCAGATGTCCAAAGAAGTAACTGACAAAAATGTTTATCACACATCTTCTGTTATTTATGATAGAAATGTAGCCGTGTTAGTCTGATCTAGCTGAAACAGAAGACAGGACTATGTAGCACTTTAAAGACTAACAAGATGGTTTATTAGGTTGATGAGCTTTCGTGGGCCAGGCCCACTTCCTCATCACCTAATAAACCATCTTGTTACTCTTGTTAGTCTTTAAAGTGCTACATAGTCCTGTTTTTTGTTATTAATGAAACACTGGTAGTTAGCAAAGGATGCCTATTACCAAAGTGTGTGCTGTGACTGACAGATGCTGGTGATAAGGTTCCCCTACCACCCAGATGTTTTCTAACTGGTGAGATAATGAATCATTGATTGGTTTCTAAGTCAATAAGAGTCATTTGTTTTCATGAATGGTTTTGATAAGAACGTATTGGTTACAGATGTCTTTTACAATTAAATAGAGACACCTAAGATAGAACTCACAGTTAACACAATCATGAGAA